AGGAGGCAAGAGCTAATACCAATTGACTTGGAAAGGCTTAAATAGGCATGGGGGCGGAAATAACTAGGTGAATGAGTGGGGGACATGGTCTTCCCCATGCGCATGGGTTTGGGGTCATGAGGAGGCATCTTTGACTGACTTTGTTACACCACAAATACCTGAACCGCTCGACCGCCCCTCTCGAACTGGATTGCGCTTCCTTGATCGTCGGTACATGCAAAACACGCCGGGGGTGGTCCCGGCGTGGACACTCCGACGCTCAAGTCAATGGTGGTGTTTCAGAGAGAAAGCGGCAGAGTAACGAGATAATATGTGTATGTGTGTTGTGTAAAATGAATGAACTTGTTCCCTTTTATAGGTGAGGTCATGTACGGGTGGAAGAGTTCTTATCGATCTAGAAGTCTTCCTCGTGTGTATCTCTAATCTGGGTCAGACATATCCAAAACTTAGAGTCCTCATCACCACAACTTCTTTGTGCCTTGACCATGAAGCCATCTCCAGGCTCTGGTCCCCTCGGTCATGAACCCTCTGGCCGAGCCGCCCAGGCGTCGAGGTTCCTAGGTGATCACCTTATATATTCCGCCTAGGTGACCAGCCTTAGGTATTCCACCTAACCCACGCCGAGCTAACCTTCGCCTAGTTGGTTAAATCCTGCCTAGCTGACTGGACTACGCCTAGCTCCTATCCACCAGAGGCACCACGGACGCCCATGCCGAGCTCCCTCACCCATGAAGCGGCCACGCCTAACTGCCACTAAATTCGGCCTATGGCCGGTCCCTTATGAACCACTACTCATAGCTGTATAGGCCCCCCCATTCCTTAGACAAGTCATCGGAGCTTGTCCTAAGGAATGTAAAAATTACACACCATAGTAAGTACTCGCGCCTTAGGTTGGGACAATTATCCAGTGTCCACCTCAACTGCGCATACCTCATTCAAATTCTCTTACCACCGCGGAGCCGGTGTGAGGATGCCGAGTAAACAGTGCCGAGCTACTAGTATATAGACGCCGGGATGACAGCCCTCAATGCTGACGCCGAGCCGATGGAATGCGCCGACGCGTGAGCTCACGCCGCCCTGCCGAGCCAACAGGCCGCCCGCCGAGCTGTACACCATGCCGAGCTATGGCGAGTGATGTCGAGCTGGCCGCGACGAGCTGAGGATGCCGAGCCGTTGGCCACATAGCGACGCCGAGCTGCCATCGTTGCCGACCTATCGAGGAGCCAACGCCGAGCTCCCCAATATGCCGAGCTCTAGCTGGGGTCGCCGAACACTCCGCCGCCGAGCCGAAGTGAAGATGCTGAGGATCCGCCGATCTGTCGAGCCATGACCTGCCGAGCTGGTCGTATGCCGAGCTGCCGGCCCTCAATGTCGACACCGGGTTGCTCACTCCGCTCCGCCGAGCCGACGAGTTGGCCTGCCGAGGATGCGACGCCAAGCTCTCCATAGGACACCGACGTCGGGCTACTCACTCCGCCGCCGAGCAGAAGTGAAGATGCCGAGCTGATTGCGACGCCGAGCACCCAGGTGCGCCGACGCCGAGCTGCCCACACTACCCTGCCAAGCCGACGAGCTGTCCTGCCGAGGAGCCGACGCCGAGCTACGGATGTCGAGATGCCAGCCCTCTGATCGCGATGCCGAGCTGCTGGTCCTACCACGACGTCAAGCTCCTAGCGAAGCCGAGGCGCACAGAGCTGTCACCGTTGCCGATGCCGAGGTGACGAGTCCTAGGCTGCCGAGCCGAGATGCTAGGCCAAAAAATAGAAAAGTCTATGCACTTACACCTACTCACGGCACATGCTCCATCTCTTTTCCTTCACCTACCACCTCCCTTCGGAACACCATTAAGCTTCCCCTACAAGCCTCTTTTTCCACCTTAGATCAAATTTCGAATGAGTGGTTCAGATCAACCAAGATTCACCTACCTTCCACTATAAATATCCACTTTTTTCATTCATCATTCACCCCCTCAAACCTCTTCTCTTCTCCTTGTTGTGATTATTTTTGTTACGTTTTTTATTGTTATTTTACATTTATTTTCCCTCATTTTTAGGTCTTTTAGAAGGTCTTTCGGTCCATTTAGTTGTTTTTGGTTATTTTTGTTGTTCTAGTGTTTATTGTGTATTTTGTGGTTTTTCGTGTGTTTTCGTGTATTTTTGTGTTTTTCCGGTTTTTGGTGTAATTTCAAGTATAATAAGTCTGGATTTTCGAGAGTTATCGTTTCCGACGCATTGGTATCGAGCCCCGTGAAGATTTGAGTTACAAGATAAATTGCTCTTTTGAGCATAGCTGGAAAGAAGAGCTCGTTAGTAACGCGTAGGAGAAAACGGAACTAAATTTCGAGTCCGAATGATCCCAAACGAGAAAAAACCGTAAAGCCGCGCAAGCTGTCCAAGCCTCGCGCCGCGGCCACTTTTCAGCATAACTTTGGGGCAACTTTTGTAACTAATTATGGCCAGTATATGACATTGAATTGAAGAGGGGTTCGTTAGCTACGCGTAGGAGAAAACGGAACTCAATTCCGAGTCCGGACGAGCCCGTACGAGCCAAAACCGTAAAACCGCGCAAGCTGCCAAGTCTTGTTCAACATGGGCGGCGCCCACTTTTCAAACATGGATGTTGGGCGGATTTTGGAAGATTTTGGGCTGATTTTTGATAGATATGCTAGCCATTAATACATAATGATCTTAAGATGATTTTGATGTGATTTTGTCCCCTCTTGAACTAGTATAAATACATCATTTGTGAGAGGTCTTAAGGGAGAGTTCGGAAAGGAAGTTTTAGCTTGAGTTCTTAGATACAAATATTAGAATTAGTACAAACACTTTCTAGTGTTCTTGATGTTCTTGTTCTTGTTTTTATTTTCATTTGGTACTTGAAACACTTGTGTGTGTAATTTTATTTTATGTTGTGAGTTAAAATTCGAGTGTTTATCCAGTTAAAATCCGAGTGTTATTCTGTAAATTCCGTTCCGTTAAGACGTTATAAATTTATATTCCGATTATTGTTATTGCAGTCGTAATTATTCTTATTGTTCCTAAAGGAATGATTATGAATATTATTACTACAATAATAATAGTTGTGGATACTTATTTATATATATATATATATATATATATATGTTATAAATATTAACTATTATTGCTTAATGTTATTGCTTATTTCTACTGTTGTAATTTTATTGCTTTATTTACTTTACGCACTTTACTCCCTGCCAATTACTTATCACATATATATATATATAGAAATATTATTATTATTATTATTAGTATTATTATTACTATTATTACTGTAATTTACTTTCTGCACTTTACTTTCTGCACTTTACTTTCTGCAATTTACTTTCTGTTTATATACTATTATTACTACTACTATTATTATTATTATTATTATTACTATTATTATTAATATTATTATTACTATTATTACTACTATTGTAAATTATTTCTGTTATTTACTGTTTTGCTTTTCCAGTTGACTTTCTGTTATTTAATGTCTTTCTTCTGTTTCTGTAATGTTATGTAAATTTCTAGTTGTAATCAAGCAAAAATCTGGATTAATTTTCTGCATTATTATATATATAAAAGAAATTGAATTACACATAATATAGTTCGATTGACCAGTCCTTGAGATCGACCCGGGAAACGAGTTTTTAACTCGGTGCTCGGAAAAATATAAAACAAAATTTGCTACAACAAATTTGGCGCCGTTGCCGGGGACTGGTTAAAGATTTATATTGTGTATCGTCAATTTTCTTTCTATTAAAAAAAAAAAATATATATATAAATATATATATTTATTTCTTTTAGTTCTTCAAGTTATTTTCTTTTTATTTTTAATCTGGTGCTCGTAACGGGTTCTTGTCTTTGTTTATGCAGACCAGGAGTGGACTTGTATTTAATCCGACAAGCGCCCAGTCAAGTGATCAGGACAAGATGGCACAGCACGAAGAACAAGGCGAGAACGTTCCACCTAGGAATGTTCTTAAAGACTTGGGCTATCCCGAAATCGGCCCGGTTACATCTTGTATCCGGTTGAGTCCAGCTGCCAGGAATTATGAGTTAAAGATGCTTCATTTCAATCAACTGCCATCATTCCACGGGCATGCCGGAGAGGATCCATTACACTTTATCCGGGAGTTCTACAACGTTCTCCACACTTTCCCTCTCCACGGCCTGACCGAAGACGAGCTGAAGCTACGGTGTTTCCCAGAAACACTGAAGGATCGAGCAAAGGCTTGGTTTATGACTCTGGCCCCTGCCTCTCTTACAACATGGGCCGGAGTTTATTCCAAGTTTGTTGGGAAATACTATTCCCATCAGAAGACGCAGGACTACCGATCTCAACTTGTTTCTTTCACCCAACAACCACACGAGGCCATGCATGAAGCATGGGAGCGATTCAAAGATCTCCAAAGACAGTGCCCGCATCACAACCTTCCAGCGGGACTGTTGATGAAGAGTTTTTACGACTCCCTAAATCAACAACTCCAATACATGGTGGACAATGCAGCAGGGGGTGACGTTGGGGAATGTACTGCAGAAGAAATGCTCGAGATCTTTGAGATGATAAGCAATAAGTCGTCTCAGAAGAGTGTTCGTGGAAAGAAGGTGTCGGTGGACGAAATATCCATCAGACACAGTGCCATGGCTCAGCAAATTGCTGAGATTGCTGAGCAGATGAGACTGTTGAGTTCAAGAAGTGTCCAACCAGTTCAAGCAATGGCTGTGGATGTATGTGGTGCTTGCGGTACCCAGGGACACGGACCCGAAGTCTGTCCTTCGGCGTTTGATCAAAATGGTGGACAACAGACGATGGACGCCAATGCATTACAAGGGTACTAGAACCGACCGATCAACAACCCATATTCAAACACTTACAACCCGGGGTGGCGAAATCACCCAAATTTCTCTTGGGCCAACAACAACAACACTCAGAGTCCTCCTACCAACTACCAGCAGCAACAACCGAGACCAAACTTCGTTCCACAACAGCAACCGATGAGGTCTCTATACCCTCCTCGTCCGCTAGTGCCGCCACAAGCACCGATGGCCAACCCAAGTTCGCCCAGCGTAGAAGAGAGGCTAGACAAAATTTTTAGCTTCATGACCAATCAAGCTGCCGCTCATAAACATCTTGAAACCCAAGTGGGCCAACTGGCCACTAGGTTTTCTACTCTTGAAGCTGAGGTTGAAAAGGGGAAGCTACCAAGCCAACCAGCACAAGTTAAGGCCATAACTGTTCTGCGAAGTGGAAGAGAGATCGATAACAATGTAGGCAATCCAGTTCCACCAACACAACCACCAGCATAACCACCAATACAATCAACAAACCAACCACAAACACAATCACCAGCCGATGAACCCGACAAGACGAAAGAAGATGATAAAGAAAAGGAGGCACCTGTCCTCCACAAATCTGCTAATCCTTACAAGCCACGAATTCCTTTTCCTGGCCGTCTTCGAGAAGACAAACAAGAAGAGCAATTCCGGGACCTCTACAACATGCTGTCCAAAGTGAACGTAAACCTTCCCCTTTTGGAAGTAATCAGGAGCATGCCAGCGTACGTCAAGTTCTTTAAGGACTTGGTGACGAAAAAGAGGAGGTTCGGCGATGGTGAGAAGGTGGTGGTTCACGAGGCTTCGAGCGCAATGCAATATGACTTACCAAAGAAGGAGCTCGATCCTGGGGGTTTTGTCATCAAAATAGCCCTCGGGAATGGGAAAGAAGCCTCAGGAATGCTTGACTTGGGAGCCGGCATTAATCTAATGCCATTTTCCATTTTTCAAAAGCTTGGCCTTGGTGATTTAAGGCCTACACGGATGTGTCTGTAGCTTGCAGATCGATCAACTCGATTCCCAAAAGGAGTCGTGGAAGATGTCCTTGTTCGAGTGGGACAACTTATAGTCCCAGTGGATTTTGTTGTCCTTGATGTTGGGGACGTTCAAGAGAACGGGAAGGATCACACTATCCTGTTGGGAAGACCATTTATGGCTACGACCAACACATTGATCGATGTGAAGAACGGAACGTTGAGCATGTCGGTTCTGGGAGAATCTGTGTCCATTTCCGTTCATGAAGCCCAACTAGCCCCCTCATTTAACTATACTGAAGAGTGTGCCTTTTACGATGACGTCTGTTCAACCGTTGAAGAAATGGTGATGCATGATTTTGAAGAACAGAGTATGCCCGACCTTAAGGAAGAAGAGCTGTCGATTGTAGAACTCTTTGCAATTGAGCAAGAGTCACAAAATCCTCCCAATCCAGAACTGAAGGAGTTGCCTAATCACCTAAAGTACGTGTTTCTTGATGACCAGGAGAAAAAGCCCGTAATCATTTGTGCAGAACTCACAGAAGAACAGGAGGAGGAGTTAGTTGAAGTTCTGAAAAGAAAACAAAAGGCGATCGGATGGAGCCTTGCTGATATAAAGGGAATTAGTCCGGCAACTTGTATGCACCGTATTGTTCTAGAAGAAGGAGCCAAACCTTTCCGGGATAGCCAACGCCGGCTTAACCCAAACATGAGCGAGGTAGTCAAGAAAGAAATCATTAAGCTATACACGGAAGGACTGATCTATCCCGTTGCAGACAGCGAATGGGTAAGTCCGATCCATGTGGTTCCGAAGAAAGGCGGAATCACTGTCATCGAAAATGATAAAAAAGAGTTGGTACCCACTCGGATAACAACCGGGTGGCGCATGTGTATCGACTATCGGCCCTAACAAAGAAGGATCATTTTCCGTTGCCCTTCATTGATCAAATTCTTGACCGACTATCCGGGCAACAGTTCTATTGCTTCCTTGATGGCCTTTCTGGCTATTACCAAGTGGCCATTGCTCCCGAAGATCAACCAAAGACGACTTTCACATGCCCGTACGGTACTTTCGCTTTCAGGCGTATGCCCTTTGGCCTATGCAATGCTCCAGGCACCTTTCAAAGGTGTATGCTCTCTATTTTTTCCGACATGCTTGAGAACTGCTTGGAGGTATTTATGGATGATTTTTTCGTTTTCGGTAATTCATTTAATAACTGTCTCCACAGTTTATCTTGTGTCCTTGAAAGATGCATAGAAACGAACCTAACTTTAAGTTGGGAAAAGAGTCATTTCATGGTAAAAAGTGGAGTCGTACTTGGTCATGTGGTGTCTCATAAAGGAATTGAAGTTGATAAAGCTAAAGTTGACGTCATTGAAAAATTACCACCTCCGATAAATGTAAAAGGTATCAGGAGTTTTTTAGGTCATGCTGGTTTTTACCGAAGATTTATAAAAGACTTTTTTAAAATAAGCCAGCCTTTGTGTCACTTGCTTTCTCAAGATGTGCCTTTTGTCTTTAATGAGGCATGTTTAAATGCTTTCATTACTTTGAAAAATAAGCTTGTGACTGCACCTATTGTAGTTGCTCCTGATTGGTCTTTGCCTTTTGAAATCATGTGTGATGCGTCAAATCATGCAGTCGGGGCCGTTTTGGGTCAACGAGTTGATAAATTACTTCGTGTAATTTATTATGCTAGTTTAACCCTTGGGGGAGCCCAACTTAACTACACAACCACTGAAAAGGAACTTTTAGCAGTCGTATTCTCTCTTGAAAAATTTAGATCCTACATTTTAAGTTCTAAAGTTATTGTGCATTCAGACCACGCTGCTTTAAGGTACTTATTGAGTAAAATGCAATCTAAACCAAGAATAATTCGGTGGATTTTGTTGTTACAAGAGTTTGACGTAGAAATACGTGATAGGAAAGGGTCGGAAAATGTGGTAGCTGATCATTTATCTCGCATCGTACCATCTGATGTTCTATCTTCATCTTTTGAACACAATAATATTC